CCTCTTTTGGAATGCTTTCTTCTCTTCTGTGTTGGAAAACTCCTACTTATCCTTCAAAGCCATGCTTGTGGGTTTCCTGTTGGTGAAACTCTCCTTAAGTTTTTAAAATAGCAATGCATTATCCCTGGTCAAGGACCCCAAGCCCCATGCGTGTCCTCTGTCATGACTCTGAGCACACCATTCACGCACTGAGTTCCCTGGAGACTGAGACACTGGCACGTCAGAGTCAGTGGCTTGTCTAGACAGAGTTTGGAGGTGGTAGGTGCTCAGAGGGTGTTTACTGAGAGTCAGTGAATGCCCAGAGGTAGCAAAAACCACCACCCAATTGTGTTTGCTTGTGGCGCACCTGCTGTGTGCTCGGCTCTGTGCACCACATGATGCCATTTGACCTCAGCAATCCTGTGAGGCAGGTCAGTGATTAACCCCATTCCTCAGATGAGGAGCGGAGGCCCAGAGAGGTTAGTGGCTGACTCAAGGGTGCAGAGCTCAGCTGGGGTCTGGGGCCATCTGACTCCAGCACCCCAGCTCTTATCTTCATGATCTCACCAGCATAGAATGAAGGGACAGTGGGTTAAAAGATGCTGTAATGGGGGAACAGGTGGGTGAGGGCATGGTGTCTGCCTGGGCATTGTTGGAGGAGAGAAGCCTTGTGCCTGTCGTGGGAAGGCTTGGATTCCAAGGTCACAGCCCAGCTGGGCTCTCAGAGCTTAGGGAGAAGCCAGCGCTGTGTTCAGGTGGAAACCAGGGGCATGAAGGGAAAGCAAGGGCTGGGGGCTTGGAAATATTTTTTTTTTTTTTTTTTTTTTTTTTTTGAGATGGAGTCTTGCTCTGTCGCCCAGGCTGGAGTGCAGTGGTGCAATCTCGGCTCACTGCAAGCTCCGCCTTCCGGGTTCACGCCATTCTCCTGCCTCAGCCTCCTGAGTAGCTGGGACTACAGGTGCCCGCCACCTCGCCCGGCTAGTTTTTTGTATTTTTTAGTAGAGACGGGGTTTCACCTTGTTAGCCAGGATGGTCTCAATCTCCTGACCTCGTGATCCGCCCGTCTCGGCCTCCCAAAGTGCTGGGGTTACAGGCCTGAGCCACCGTGCCTGGCCAGCTTGGAAATTTTGACTCTTTGCATACTCTGTAGGTCGTCCAGGCACTTTCCAGGAATTACCAATAGCTGTTGGTTAGGGACATGGGTGGGGCAGTGAGGGCCTTCTGAGGGGTAGGGTGCTGGCCCTGGGGTGGCTGGGGGTGGAGGACTGTGGGCAGCCTGGGTGAGAGGTCCTGCAATGTGTAGGAGCTCCACCCCACTGACCCTCCTGCGCTCTGTCATCCCAGTGGTCCCAGGGGAAAATGAGGGTCTCTTCTCATTGACCAAAGGCTAACACTGAGGCCGGGGAGAAGCCAGAACCTGGCCAGGGCCACACAGCAGTGAGGCAGTGGCGGAGGCCTCCTGCTCCCCAGCTCTGGTCTCCTGAGCTCTGAGGGGCTGGGGCTTGGCTGCCAGCGAAGAGTGGGCAGATGGCTGGAGAGATCCTGGAGTCTCAGGGGAGCCAGCCCAGCCTTGTGGGGAGCCCCGGACCCCAGGAGAGAGGCAACAGGGTTCACACCCCAGCCGGGCCACGTGACACAGGACATGTGAGTTCTGTCTCAGCCTCCATTTCCTCATCTGTAAAACAGGAAAATGTTGCCTCTTTTGTAAAGTTTTGGGAGATGGCAGTGCAAGCCTGTGTGTGCGGGTCTGAGCACACAGTAGCTGCTGAATAAATATGAGTTCTTCTCCATTCTATGTCCTAGAGAGCAGCATGGGTGCCTGGAGCCGAGCTTCCTCCCTTTCTCCCGGGTCAGGGACTGGCATCTTCGTGGAAGGTCGGGGCCCCGCACAGTCTGAGTCAGGCTCTGAGGTTGCCTTGCTCTGTGACCGTGGGCCGGTCCCTGCTCTCTATGAGCCTTGTGGGCCATCCGGCAATGGGGACAAAGTCCTCCCCCGTCCCCTGCCTCAGGGTTGTTGAGACGGTGAAATAGGGGGAGGGTGACCTGGGTTTTAAGTGCACCTGGTTTTCACAAAAGTAGAAATACCTCTGGTGTCTGGTGCTCAGGCTGAGGGGAGGGAGGGGGGACTGCAGAGGGAGAGGGGATGGGGGCACCTCTCTGCCTCCACTGAGGCACTGAGGGAAGGGTCAGGCCTCAGGCAGAGCAGGGTGGCTGGGAGATGCTGGGCAGTGGAGGGAATTGGCCAAGATTTGAACCTTAACCCTACAAATGACCAGCTGGGAGGCCTTGGGCAAGGCCCTGGACCTCCCCGAGCTGCACTTTCTTCGTCTGTGAAATGGGAGTGAAAGTATTAAGAATAGTCCCTTTGCTGAGTAGAGGGGAAGATCATGTGGCGTGGAGTTAGGCTATACAAATGTCCCCTTCTTCCCCTGGGGTGGTTGGAGGGGTTGCAGGGCAGTGAGGGATGCTTGGAGGAGAACAGAGGAGTTGAGCAGGGAGTTGAGGATTAGTAGAGGTCTCTAAAGTCGGGTAATGTTCAGGGTGACCTCATGGCCTCAGGATGACAATATTAAAATTCTAAATTTTTCAATCATACAATTTTTTAATTTCTGGAAATTTTTTAGTAGCTGTTTTATGATGTTCATGATAAACTAGGACAGTAACACATTCATGTAATTTAGAAAGAAAGGAAGATAGAGGCGTGTGTTCAAAAGGTTTTACTGACATAGGTGCATGATCAAAATATCTAAGTCCTCCCCAGGGTTCAGGCTAGCAGGGCTCTGAGGCATTTTGGGGGTCAGGGGAATGGGAAGGCATCAGAATAGCACTGGGAGACTTGGGCTCCCCCCTCAACTTGCTGTGTGTCCTTGGGCAAGCCACCTAATCTCTCTGAGTTTATAAAACAAGCAGAGGGAGCTTATAAAACAAGTAGAGGTAGGCTCCTTCTAGCAAGGGGAGGTTGAGATGATCTGATTCTAGGCTTTGTTCCAGATCTCAGATACTCCTGGAATCTTGACACTTTGAAAGTCTTCTCATTTCACAGCTGGTTGATGCTCATGGTCCTTCTCTAAGCCCAGCTGTGACTCATCTGTGATCTGCTTACATACTCCCAGGAACGGGGAGCTCACCACTTCACAGGACACCCCATTCTGTGCTGGACGGAGCTGTCATCTGCCTCCCTTTCTCTTTCTCTCGTTCAAGGTGAAACTGAGAGGAGAGGGGCTGCGGCTTGGCCTTTAGGGACTGAGGAAGGAGTTTTTCTCTCAGGGCTGTTTCCTCTGAGTGTTAGCTACAGCCCTTACCACACCTGCCTTCTGCTCAGGGTGCTCTCGACTTTCATGATGAGACAAAGCCTTTCCAGCTCACTCTCCAGCAGCTAGAGGGGGCAGTTAGAGCATGCACCATGCTCCTGGTACTACTGCCCAACCACGTAAGCTTGCCCCAGCCAAAAGCAGATTCTGTTTGCTGGGCACCCCCTGCCAGTCCCTGAGCTCAGTGTTTTGTAAGTATAATGCAATTTAATCTTCACTGAATCCAGCGATTGCAATTTTCCGGATGAGGCAACTCAGAGATGTTAAGAGACTTGCCCAAGGTCACACAGTGATCTGGATTCAAATCCCTCTTGATCTGGAGCCCAGCTCTTCATCACTCTTCTGTTCAGTCCCTTTCCACGCCCCTAAACAGGATGTAATGTGGCAGGAAGACAAGTTGAGACCTGTGTCTGAGCAAAAAAAAACAAACAAACAAAAAAAAAAACCACCCACACAGTCAGCAAGGGGGAAACAGATGGTGGGTAGCTGGTTGCCTGTCAGCTGAGCATAAGTTACCAGTGCAGGGCTGCCTAGAAAGCCAATGTAAACTTAGGGCCATATTAATAGAGATAGGGCACCCACTAGAAGGGAGGGGAGAGTCTTCTTGTTCTTTATATGGGCAGAGGAGAACTGCATGTGTGTCGTAGGGGAAGGGTGGAGGGCTTGCTGCAAGGACATGGACACACGTAAGGTTGTGAGTTCCCCATGGCTGGAAGCACTTCAGTAGAGGCTGCATGGCACAGGATTCCTGCACTGGCTGGTGGAAGGCATGGACAAGGTGATCTCCAAGATTCTTTAAAACTACAGTTTTGTGGCTGAATTTCAGTGGTTTCTAGGTCCACCCCAACACTCTGGCCTATCAGATTCGCCCCTTCCCCATCATTCTTAGCAACGGTCCTCTGAGAGTGTGGGGTTCATTTGTTCATTCGTTCATTCATTCATTCATTCATTCATTCAACAAATACAACAGCTAGGGGGATGAACAAAGACACACACAAGCTTTCCCTGCCTGGAACCTACAGTCGAGTGGGGATAACAGTAATAATAATAGCACAGATTGAGTACTTACTATCTGACAGGTACTTTAAGTGAATTATCCCATCTGGCTCCACCACAATCCTATGAGGAAGATGTTATTATTCCCTGAGGGGCCATGGGAGACGGGGATTCAGGGTTAGATGCTCTCCAGGGCCCTCGTGGGCCTGTGTTGATGATTCTGGGAACCTGAAGCTCTATGATGCTCTCTGATCCCCAGAGCCTGTTGTTAGAGAAGGGGGTGCAGTGGAGGGGCCTTCAACTTCTACCCCCCACCCCACCCCCTTAAGCCTGACCTTCAGTAGTAACAGTTACCACTCTTACTGAGAGCCGGGCCCAAGGGCTCTCCTGGGATAGTCTCATTTACTCCTCATGGCAGCCTCCTAAGGAAGTTACTAGTATTATCCCCATCTTGCAGATGGGCAAACCAAGGCATATAGAAGTCAAGTAGCTTGTCCAGGGTCACACAGCTGGAGAGAGGAAGACCCAGGATTCTGAGCATGGGCTTTCTATGTAAAGGCCACTCTTTTGTCTGGGATGCCCTACTGACCTGGCATGCCCTCCACTCCAGGATCCTCACTACTGGCTTCCCTGCTGTACACCACTAAGGTGGGAAGAGCTGGTCGGGAGGCCGTGATGCAGGCTCAGCTGACTGATGCTTTGCTCTGCCTCCAGATCATGAGCGTCTTGTTGTTCATCGAGCACTCCGTAGAGGTGGCCCATGGCAAGGTGTCCTGCAAGCTCTCGAAGATGGGCTACCTCAGGATCGGTAGGTCCAGGGGACGCCGGTGGAGTGGCGGCGGGAGGAGGACAGGGAGGTCCCCGGCCAGGGATAGCCAGGCTGGGGTTGGAGGCCCTGTCACCTCTCCATGGACGATGGATGACCTCTGGCAAGTGTCTTCCTTTCTTGGGGCCTCGGCTGTTTCATCTGCAAATGGGGATGTTCCACCTGACTCCACCCACATATGCAGGTGGTGAGAGCAGATGGAATGGCACTTTGCAAACCCCCACCAGCTGGTAAAGGTGACAGCCTCACTCTTCTGCTTAAAGCTGTCAGTGGCTGCTCATCACACTAGAATAAAATGGAAACTCCTCACCATGGGATCTAGCCCCTGCTCACTTCTCTGATAGCATCTCCCTGCAATTCTTCGCCCCACACCTTGCTTCAGCCACACTGACCTCAGCAACCTTGTCCCTGTCTCAGGCCGACTCCTCATTGCTCTCAGGCCACTCCCCAGGGATGCCTTCCTCGGCCTCACCCTGGCTGAAGTGGACCCCAGCCTGCACCTCCAGCCCAACACCCTCTGTCGCATCCACCTTGTGCTACGCATGATGTTCTGCTTTTGTCTTTGTACCCACTCCAGACTGAGGACTGTGTGAGGGCAGAGCCTGGGCTTTCCTGTGCACCCTCGTGTCCCCAAACCAGTGGTTCCCGAAGTGTCTTCCTGGGAGCCTGGCTGGGTGCCGGGGGTACCCCTGAGCGCCTCACTGCTCTCCTTGCCTTTCAGCCGACCTGATCTCCAGCTTCATGCTCATCGCCATGCTCTTCGTCATCAGCCTGAGCCTGCTGATCGGTGTGGTCAAGGTGAGGGCTCGGGAGCCCCACTGCCCCCGCCCCTTCCTGTTATTCACACCCGCTGATGGGCAGTGCTGAGTGCGGAGAGGGTGGAAGGCGGGTGTGTTCAGAGGTCCCACCTGCATGCTGGAGATCTTCACATTTACCTTTTGGAGAACCATGTTTCTCCCTGAGATTCCCTGGGCTGGTGACCTCGGTTCCCTGGTAACATGAGCCTCCATGGGGCCGGGCCTGGTAGGCCATGCTGGTCACCGACATTTCGGTGAGAACTAGCTGATGACCCACATCCTTTTAAATGGCAGGTGGAAGCAGGGAATTTGGAGAGTGAGAAGAGGAAGTGTTGTTTCTGGGGGTGAGGGAGGGGAGAAGGCACTGGATTTTGTAATAGATGAGAGGAGCCGAAGCAGGAGGAACGTAGGGTGCATGTAGCTCTATCCATGCAGTGACAGGTGCCAGCACCCTGAGGGGGACCTACGCCCTGGAAGGCCCCCAGAGAGTTCATGATCTAACTGGGGAAGATGGGCCCTCAGAGAGACAGGGACAGTCTAGCGTGACAACGAGGGGCTCCTGGGCCCGAGGCAAATCTGGTGGGAGGATTGAGATGGGCTGCAGCTCAACCCCCTGCAGAAGAGGAAGCTGCTGTCCCTTGGTCCCCAGAAAGGCAGGAAGCCAGGGCCTCATCACATGGCCATGAGAGTAGGATCCAGAAAGAGGGTCCTTCCTGTGCAGACAGGGGCCTGACACTTGCAGGGCCAGAGGAGTGGGGCGATGATTTGGTGCTGGTTTGGAATGCATCCACCCTGCCTAAAATGCCAACACCCTCTCCCCTTGCTAACATCCACTGTGTCTTGGAACCCATGTTCCCCGGGGAGGCCGTTTGCATTGTGCAGGGTGGCTCTGGGTGCTTGTGCAGAAACTCAAATGGTTCAGCTAGGGAAATGGAGAAATGGAGCAAGTGGTCCTTGACTCTGAGATCAGTCAAGGTTGTTCTGGTTGCCTCCTGAGTGATTTTAAATGACCACATGAGACACCGGGAAACCCCTGTTTCCGTGATTTTGTCCCCAGCTGTGAGAGCATATGAATGAATACTGGTCACGGTGGTCACTTGCTTTCAATGGAAGGAGAGGGACTTCAGCCTCTTCCTGGCAGGGCCTCTTACTGTGACTTTGGACTCCTGGGAGTGGCCCACGGAGGGAGGTCCAACTGTATGTGGGGTGGTGGTGGGGGAGATGGAGGGGGTGGGGGGCCAGGGCTCTCTGCTGCCTCTGGGCCTTCGCTCATGTCGGTCCTTCTGCCTCCAGTGCCCCACCCCTCCCTCCCTCCTCGCTCCTAGTCTCCTTCCCCGATCTAGCCCTGGTGTCCCCAACTCCAGCAAGTCCTCGCCGATCCCTCTCCTCTGTAAAAAGTGCACAAAGCCCTTCCTTGCTGGGTTCTTGTGAGCAAATTGAGTCAAATCCTGCTCTTTGAGCCCTGATAGATGGGGATGGTTCCCTTACGTCTCCTAGGACACCAAGACTCCCCTCATTCAGGGCCTGGGTCTTATCCACTCCCTGTCCCCAGAGTGTCACTCAGAGGAAGGTGACCTCAACTGAGGAGGGCAGGGAAGATTTGGGAGAGGGTGGGCAGGGGATGTATGAGGACATCAGGCTGGGTAGGGGAGTGTGGGCTGCAGGCAGGGGACACTTGATGGTGTTGGGCCTACCTTTCAGAACCGGGAGAAGTACCTGCTACCCTTCCTGTCCCTGCAAATCATGGACTATCTCCTGTGCCTGCTCACCCTGCTGGGCTCCTACATTGAGCTGCCCGCCTACCTCAAGTTGGCCTCCCGGAGCCGTGCTGTGAGTACCCAGCCCCCACCTCTCACCGGACAGCAGACCCCAGGCCTGGCATGGGAGATGGGAGGGGGCCAGACACGGGCCCTGGGCTCAGGCTGGGGAGGGTAGGAGCCCTCTTCCTGGCTGCGGTCTTGACCTAGCCTCTGAGTCCCTCCACATTGCCCCAAGTTTCTTCCTCTGTGGAATGTACCTGCAATCACATCTCACCAGCCTGCCTTATGAAGGTTAAATGAGGAACATGCACACGGGGGGGTGCAGCCCATGGTCAGCACTTGGTCAGTGCCGCTGGGAGTGAATTGACACCTGAGGAAAGGGCACGTGTGCTTTTAGGCCCTCAGCCCCCAGTGTTATTCCAAGTTGAAGAAAGGAAGAGAAGGATGATTCATGCCAGTGCGTGTCCACTGTGGAGTGGCTTGAGGCCTGCTACCAGTCAAGGACACAGTCACCCAAAGTTGCTTTTCTCACTTTCCCCAACTGTTGTCCTTGAAGAGACCGAGGGACTACATCGTGGAAGGGCCCTGGCCTGGGAGTCTGGAGACCCTGGTTCTAGTCCCAGGTCTGCCACCAGCTCTTGGTATGAACATCTGTGTGTTCACGTCTCTCTGTGCACAGGGGATGAGTCGATGATGTCTGTAGCTGAGATGCTCTCTCAAGTGAGGGCCTACTGTGTGCCGCTCAGTAACTGGGACTTTAATTGCCACTCCTTATTCCTCCTCCTTGTATTTGTCCTCCCCAGAGCCCCTCCAAGTTCCCCCTGATGACTCTGCAGCTGCTGGACTTCTGCCTGAGCATCCTGACCGTCTGCAGCTCCTACATGGAAGTGCCCACCTATCTCAACTTCAAGTCCATGAACCACATGGTGAGTCTGGGGCAGGGGTCCATGCCCATTTGCTGGCTGTGTGGCCTTGAACAAGTTACTTCATGTCTCTGTGTGTCTGTGGTTTAGGCCAGGTTCCCTGGAGCTGGAACCTGGGAGGAAGATTCTTGTGCTGGTGATGTATTGAGGGAGCCCTCTCAGGAGGAAACTTGTAAGGAGTGAGGAAGGCAGGTTCGAGAAAAGGAGGAAACCAAGCAAAGACGCGACTATAGGAGCAGCCCTGCATGATCCCAGAGAGGGCCTTGGTGTGTGAATTGCAACACAGACATAATATCCGTTTTTACTGCTGTCTAATGAATTATCTCTAAACACTATGGCTTAAAGCAATAAACATTTATTATTTCACACAGTTTCTGAGGATCAGGAGCTTGGGAGTGGCTTAGTTGGGTTCTTCTGACTCAGGGACTCTGGTGGGCTGCACCCAAGATGGTCCCTGGGCCTGTGGACAACTGAGGGCTTGATTGGATCTGAAGGATGCACTCCCAGTGGCTCACTCACAGGATATGGGCTCTTTGTCTAATTCCTCATTGTGTGGACTTGTAGTAGTGATGTTTGAGTGCTCTCCTGACATGGCTGCTGGCTTCCCCTGCGGGAGCGATGTAAGAGATAAGCAAGGAGGAAAGGCAGTGTCTTTTACGACTTCCATCACTTCTGTTACACTCTGTTAGTTAGAAGTGAGTTGCTAAGTCCAGCCCACACTCATGGGGACAGGAAATAAACACTACCTTTAGAAGGGAGGAGTCTCAAAGAATGTGTGGTAATATTTGCAAATGACCACAGAGGCAGTCTCACCTAGGGCGAGTTCCTCTGCATCAGTCATTGGTTTCAAGCTGCCCCTAGAGGAGGGAATGTAACCTCCCAGGTACTAGTGGATTAGGTGGTCCCTATCAGCCAAAATGATCTTCTAGAGAAGGGCATAGGTGTGGCCCCTGGGCAGCTGACACCTGCCAGTTGGGGATGGGCAGGTGCACCAGCCTGGGAAGCGGATCTGGAGGTAGTAGTCACTTGGCTTTTCTTGGTTTGCCCATCAGTGGGATGGGGCTGAGGGTAGCACCTGCTTCCTAAGGCTGCTGTGGCGGTCGACCAAGGTGACGGCTGTGCCACACTGTGCTCCTGTGTGTGTGGAGGGTGGGATCATTAGTCCTGGATGTGTGGGTGCTGTTGGAATTCCTTATGTCCAGAGACATTGATGTGGCTCCCAAATCTGTTGCAGAATTACCTCCCCAGCCAGGAGAATATGCCATATAACCAGTTCATCAAGATGATGATCATCTTTTCCATTGCCTTCATCACCGTCCTTATCTTCAAGGTGAGTGGACCCCTGCCCTGTGGCTCTGGGAGGGGTGGTGAGGCGTGCTGGGCCCAGGCCTGCCCGTGCCAAGCTGTTAGAAGGCAGGGACACGTGTCCTCCATGCCTCCTCTCCTGCTTTTAGCTCCTTTCTCTTGCTATCCCATGCCAGCTCCTCTGACTTTACTTGGGATCCTCCGAGACAGCCCGTTTAGGGGATATGAATCCATGAAGGCCACCTGCGTTCAGATGTCTAATTCCAGCTGTCCAGAATTAGATTTGGACTGTCCTGCGTTTGAATCCCAGCCCCACTGTCATTAGCTGTGTGCTTGGTCTTCAGCAAGTCACTTCTCTCTGGGCCTTAGGGGCATGAGTCTTACTTTGCCTATGTTACAGTTTTATGTACTTCAGGCATCCAAATGTGCCTGAGATCATGTTAATAGAGGTTTGGTGATGAGAAGGAGGGAGGGGAATGATCTCATTCTTCTCTGGGGTGGTCAGGCCCAGGGATAGGGTCCAGCTTCAGGTCCTAGGTCTGAGTGATGGTGAAGCACCAGAGTGTGTTCACAGCAGTGCAACCAGCAATGTGAAGAGACAAGAAAACGTACCGTCTTAGGAAGTCAAAACCCCCCCACAAAACCCAACAAAGACCTGAGTGCTATTCTGCATGGAAAATAGAGGACTCAAGGGGGACATGACTGCTGTTTCTTAACACCTGAAGAACTCTCGTGGGGAATTTTGTGGGATCCTAGAGGCCACAATGGGGGCCTGTGGCCTGAAGCCACAGGGATGCTGATGACCACAGAACAGAAGGAAGGGCTTTTAAAAAGTGTTCTTTTCTGATCATAAAAGTAACATAGGTCATTGTAGAAATTAAAAAACTACAGATGAGCTGGGTGTGATGGCTCACACCTGTAATCCCAGTGCTTTGGGAGGCCGAGTTGGGAGGATTGCTTGAGGCCAGGAGTTCAAAACCAACCTGGGCAACATAGCAAGATTCTGTCTCTACAAAACATTAAAAAAAAAAAAAATTAGATGCATGTGGTGGCACGTGCCTGTAGTCCCAGCTACTAGGGAGGCTGAGGCAGAAGGATTGCTTGAGCCTGGGAAGTTGAGGCTGCAGTGGGCCATAATCGTGCCACTGTACTCCAGCCTGGGTGACAGAGTGAAAATCTCTCTCTCAAACAAAAAACAAAAAACTCCAGATAAGTAGAAAGAAGACAAACACTCCACCATGCCCACCCCACACAGAGAACATCACTGCTAACTTGGGGCATTTCCCCCCAGCCTTTCTGTGCTGGTGGGTGGGCGTCTGCGGACTCCAGCTCCTGCTTCCATCTGAGGCCCTGGGCAGTCTCTGCCGTCACCTAATGCCAACCTAGAAACAGAACCTTGCCCCTTTTAACATCTTCTCCAAGGACTGACCTAGCACAAAAGCACTAGTGAGTGTGCAGTGAGAACGCTCGAAAGGCTTCATGGGGGAAGTCAGTGTGGGGTTTCCATGGCACTCTCTACTGCAGGACCCCTCCCCAGATCCCACCACACAGCTCCATCTCCCAGCTCCCCTTCTGTTTTTTATCTTCCAGAATGAGGGGCTTCCCTCTTTGACCCTCATTCTGCCTTGCTGGCCCCCTCCACCTACTTGATTTTCCCTGGGCCTTCATGCCTCAATCTTTGTCACTCAGTACCTCCATATGTCTCCTTGCCCCACCTACGTGCCCAATCAGGGAATCCATCAAACAAGACCTTCCAGTACAGGACCCTCTCCTCCTACTCAGGGGGCATCCTGGGGGTTTTCTGTTGTTTCTTGAGCTCGCCCCTTGGGATTGTACGCCCCACTCTGGAAAGCTTCTGCCCAATTCTTACATCAACTTGCATCAGCTGATGGATATATACCAATTGTTCCTCCTTTATAAACATGGGCCAATACTGCACATGCTGTTTTGTAATCTGCTTTAGAAAACAACGTATCAGAAGCAATTTTGAAGAAAACATGTCCCACCATCAGCTCTGTTTCCAGATGGCCAGGGCTGTCTCGGGAGGTAGTGAGCTCCCGGTCAGTGTGGGCAGTTAAGCAGGAGCTGTGGGACTATTGCCGGGGACATTGGAGGGTGGGCCAGAAGCCACCAAAATCCGCTTGCTATGTGGTGTCTATGGGGCAATGAAAAGGGCAGTACCTGGAATATTCTGGACTGGCTGGTGAGGAACCCCCAACCAGAATGAGAGGTCTGAGCAGGAGCGGCTGGATGCTGGCTTCTGGGGAGAGTGGTGGCTCCTGCCTGGCATACGTCCTAGGCCTGCTGGAGTGTGAGAAGGATGCTCAGCAAAGCACAGCCTGACCTGGGCCTTTTTCCAGGTCTACATGTTCAAGTGTGTGTGGCGGTGCTACAGATTCATCAAGTGCTTGAACTCGATTGAGGAGAGGAGCAACTCCAAGATGTTCCAGAAGGTGAGTTTGGCTGCAGGCGGGTGCCAGCCTTGCTATTCACTGCCTGTGCCATTTGGGTCGAGTCTCCTTCCTTCTCTGGACCTTGGTTTCTCTATTTGTAAGATGAGGGTTGGAACAGAAGAAATGTGGTCTCTTTCAGTTCTGGTAGTCTAAGATTCATTCACTCACTCATTCACTCACTCATTCATTTATTCAGTATTTACTACCTCTCAGTCTTTGCTAGTCTCATATCGATTCCAGGGGACGCAGAGAAAACTAAGATGCCACCTCTGCCTTAGAGGAGTGTATAGTTCAGACACAGAGATACAATTACAACTTGGTGTGAAGCACAGGGACAGTAAGCACAGAGGAAAGACCTGGCCTCTTTTTGGATATCAGGGAAGGCTTCCTGAAGGAGGTGACAGTTGACTGGTCTTGGAGGGACAATGGATATGAGATAGCTGGGAAAGGAGAAGGAGGCTTTTGGGGAAGAGAGGATGGGGTGTACTTAGAAGTAGCTTATTGGAAAGTGATGTTTCAAATTCCTGGTAACTTACTTTCCTCCCCGGTAAGGTGGAGATTGTATTAGTTAAGGCACTTTTGGTTGCAAGTGGCAAAAACCCAACTCAATCTGACTTAAGGAATTTACTAGCTCATATAACTTAGCAGCCAAATGTAGGTCTGGCTTGGGCCTGGCTGAATTATGACATCAGGATACGATCTCATCCTCTCCATCTCTTGACTCTACTTTCCTTCATGTTGGCTTCATTTTCAGGAAGCCCGTCCCTTGTGGTGGCAAAATGACTGCCAAAACCCCTAGGCGATATCCCACCCTCTCAGTAATCCCAACAGAAAAAGAAGGTCCCAGTAGCATGTCTGATTGGACCAACTTGAGCCACGTGCCTATCCCCAAACCAAGGACGATAGCCAGGAGGATGGAATTCTACTTTGAGTGGCCAAGTCCAGCCACCCCACTGGATCTGAGGGATGGGACGAGTTCTTTTGGAGGTATATGGATAGAGAATGTTTTCCCAAGGAAAATGGTGCACTGTATTCAAAATAAGGGGGACTTGATGCTGAATAGGCAAAGGCAAGTATGTCCACTACAGGGCTGGGAACTGCACCTATCTCATGCAGGCAGTGTCTAGCACATAGCAAACATCCAAGACCTGCCAGTCATTATCATCATCATCATCATCAGCAGCAGCAGCACCAGCATCATTTTGCCAGAGGTGGGGGTTTAGGTCCCATGACCCCGGGTTGGAATTGCAGGTCGTTTTTGACCATACTCAACCCTCATCTCTGTGTCTCTCCCAGATGGTCCTTCCGTCCTACGAGGAAGCCCTGTCTTTGCCATCGAAGACCCCAGAGGGCGACCCAGCACCACCCCCATACTCAGAAGTGTGACCCTCGCCAGGCCCCAGCCCCAGTGCTGGGAGGGGTGGAGCTGCCTCATAATCTGCTTTTTTGCTTTGGTGGCCCCTGCGGCCTGGGTGGACCCTCCTGCCCCTCCCTGGCAGGACAATCTGCTTGTGTCTCCCTCGCTGGCCTGCTCCTCCTGCAGGGCCTGTGAGCTGCTCACAATTGGGTCAACGCTTTAGGCTGAATCACTCCTCACGTCTCTCAAAAATTCAGCCCAACAATGCTTGGTTTATGTCAATCAGCTCCGACACTTGTTTAGACCATCGGTCATTCTAAAGTTGGTGAGTTTGTTAAGCAACTATCGACTTGATCAGTTCAGCCAAGCAACTGATGCATCAAAAACCCACTTGTCAGTTCAGTAAAATAATTTGGTCAAAACAACAGTCTATTGCATTGATTTATAAATAGTTGTCACTTCACATAGCAATTTACTCAAGTAGTCATCAATTAGCTACCCCCATATATAAATATATATGTAATCAATTTCTTCAACTAGCTTGCTTAAATGATAATCAGTTAGCCAACCATGAGTCGTTTAGAATAGTGATAAATAGAATACATAGAATAGTGACGAAATTCAATTTAAAAAGCCAAGTTAGCCTCCAAACCATTTAATTCAAATGAACCCATCAACTGGATGCCAACTCTGGTGAATGTAGGACCTCTGAGTGACTGTATAATTGTTAATTCAAATGAGATTCATTTAAACAGTTGACAGACTGTCATTCAATAATTAGCTCCAGGAAATAACAGTTATTTCATCACAAAACAGTCTCTTCAAACACACAATTGTTCTGTGGAAGAGTTGTCATCAACAGTCCAGTGCTCACCTATTCAGTTGCTCTGTGGTCAGTGTGGCTGCATAGTGGTTGATTCCATGAAAGGAGTCAGCTCAATCACAGTCATTTTAGTGACGAGCCGCCAGTCCGTTCCCAGGCCAGGCCGTTGCTGGCCATCCCTTCAGTCGATTCAGTCATAGATGAGTCAGTTCTGCCTGAGGCTTGTGATCAAGCAAAAATTCAGCCCTGAAGTCGGGCACATCTGTTCGTCGGACTAAACCCACCAGTTAGTTCAGTCAAAGCAGGCAACCCCCTTGTGGGCACGGACCTTGCCACTGGGGTCATGGTGGTTGTGGCAACCAGGGAGGTTTGGCCCCCAGAGCCCTCCTGTGCCTGCTTCCCTGTGTGTCGGGGTCCTCCAGGGAGCGGACCCAGAGGTGGAGACCACAGAGGCAGGGTCTCTGGGGACTGTCGGGGGTACAGAGGGAGAAGGCTCTGCAAAAGCTTCCTGGCAATACCCCTTGTGTAATTGCTTTGTGTGCGACAGGGAGAAGTTTCAATAAAAGCAGCAACAAGCCCTATCTCTGGCTGATGTGTTCTGGAAATACAGTGTAGGAGGGTGGAGACCAGCCTTCTACCTCCACCACCCCAGGATTCGCCCTCCCCCCACACCCACATACACACCCCCCACAGCCACACCCCACCAACGTACACACCCACACCCCCACCTCACACCAACACCCACGCCTCCACTCAGCCACACCTACACCTACCCTTGCACCCCTCCCACACACTCCCCAGCCACACCACCAAAGTACACACCCACACCCCCACACTCACACCCCCAACACCCACCCCATCACCTAAGCCCCACACCTACACCTACATACACACCCCTCACACACTCCAGCCACCCACCAAAGTACACACCCACACCCCCACACTCACACCCCAACCCACCCCATCACCTAAGCCCCACCTACACCTCCATACACCCACATAGACACCGTCACACACTCACCCCCACAACCACACCCACCAACATATACACCCAACATGCCCACACACACCCACTCCCCACCCCCTCACCCCAATCCCCCCACACATACACACCCCTCCGCTCCCAACACCCACACTCACCCAACATACCCACACCCACCAACATACCCGCAACCCCCACACACAACCACACCCACCCCCTCACCCCCACCCCCACACACCCACACTCCTACACCTACATACACACACACTCACACACACACCCCACAACCACACCCACCAACGTACACACCACACTCCCACATTCCACACCCACCCTCGTCCTCCACCCCACTCCCACTCCTACACCTACACTTGCCACACACCCCTCACACACACTCCCCACAACCACACCCACCAACATACACACTCAACATACCCACACTCACACCCACCCCACCCCCTCACCCCCCTCCCACTCCTACACCCACATACACACCCCTCACACACACTCCCCACAACCACACCCACCAACATACACACTCAACATACCCACACTCACACCCACCCCACCCCCTCACCCCAACTCCCTACCTACACCTACATACACACCTCACACATCCCCACAACCACACTGACCAATGTACACACCCACAGCCCCCACACTCCCACCCACCCCACCCCTCACCCCACTCCCTCCTACACCCACATACACACCTCACAAACCTCCCAACCACCCACCAACATACACATGCCCCCACCCCCACACTCCCACACCAACACCCACCCCCTCACCCCCTCACCCCCTACACCCACATACACACCCCTCACAAACCTCCCAACCACACCCACCAACATACACATGCCCCACCCCCCACCTCACACAACACCCACCCCCTCACCCCCACTCCCACCCCTACACCCACATACACACCCTCACAAACCTCCCAACCACCCACCAACATACACATTGCCCCACCCCCACCTCACACCAACACCCACCCCCTCCCACCCCCACTCCCACCCTACACCCACATACACACCCCTCACAAACCCCCAACCACACCCCACCAACATATACACATGCCCCACCCCACATTCCTGTACACCCCCTCACCCCCACCCCACCCATACACCCCACACTCACAATCCCAACACCCAGCACACACACCCCACCAACATACCCACAACCCCACACACAACCACCCACCCTCACCCCCACCCCACCCCCACACCCACACACCCTACACACCTACATACATCCACATATGCACTCTCACACACACCCCACAACCACCCTCCCCTCACCCCTACCCCTCACACACACCCACATACCGCCCCCCACACTCACACCCCCACACCCACACCCACCAACATACACATGCCCCACCCCCCACACTCACACCAACACCCACCCCCTCACCCCCCACCCCCCACACACATACACACCCCACACTCACAATCGAACACCAAGCACACACCCACCAACATACCCACAACCCCCACACACAACCACACCCACCCCTCACCCCCACCCCCACACCCACACACCTACACCTACATACACATCCACATATGCACTCCTCACACACACCCCACAACCACACCCTCCCCCTCACCCCTAACCCCTCACACACCCATACACGCCCCCACCTCCACACCCCACACACACCCTGCCCATACACACCCCACCCCCTCACACATCCACACACCTAAACTCACACACCCACCTACACCCACATATACATCCATGCACACTCATACCCTCACCCCCACACCCCCACACCGACACCTACACCATATACTTACCAACGCCCCATACCCACACACACATCCACACATATTCACACCCCTCACACCCACACACACATATTCACACAAACATACACACCAACACCCTCCACACAACCACACACACTCACATCCCACACACCCCATGCACTCACATCTACACTCACACACACACCCCTACCCCCTCACCCTCCCCCATACAGCTACGCATCCAAACACCCACACAGCCACACATCCCCACACCCACCAACACCCCCCACACCCCCACACACATTCACGCACAGCCACACCTACACCCACACACTCCACCCACACCCTACACATATACCCCCACACCCACACTTACATACACACCAACCTCCCACACACCCACACACCCAGCCAAACCCACATCACACACCCACACATTAACACCCCCCACACCCACACACCCATATACCCACACACACCCACATACACACCAACTCCCACACACAGATACACACATCCACACCCAAACACTCACATCCACACACACCCATGCACTCACACTCCTCCCACACACACACTCACACATACCCCCCATACTCACACTCACATACACAGCAACCCTCCACACCCAGACACATCCACACACAATACTCTCCAGAGCCACACACACCCACACACACCACCATACACACCAACACCCCCCCACCCCCACACACATCCAACACACAGCCACACCCATCAAGCAATCACATCCACACATACCCACATTTCCCACCCCCACCCCCTCACATCACATCCACACCCCCACCCCACCACCACACCCACAAACACACCTCCCATCCCGCACATACCCCACACTCACACCCCACACCCCTCCACCTCACCCACCCCACACACCCCACAAATACACCCACACACCCCCCACATACCCACACGCACTCCTCCACAATCCTCCACATACACCCACCCCCACACCTACAAACACCCCCACATACCCACACACTCCCCACCCCCACACCTACAAACACCCCCCACATACCCACACACTCACATCCCCCACACCCCTCCACACACTCACACCCACCTCCACACACCCACATAAATACACACACACACCTGGTTGTTCCATCCAGAAACTCCTCCCATGAGCCATGCTGAGTGAGAGGTGGTCCTGACCCGATACTGGCTGATCATGAACCACAGCCCGAGATGAAGCACTCTGACGTCTCCCCAATCGGGCGCGCACTCCACTCCCCTGGGGCTGGGTCCTGCTCTGGACATGGGATGACCTCAACAGGTAGGACTCGCCTCCAGTTCCCCACAGTCTGGGTAGGAGGGACAGATCCACAAAAGGGCTGCCACAATAGGGAAAGCCTGGGGGACCTCAGATGTGGCCTGAGGGCCAGAGAAAGCCTCTTGAAGGGTGTCACCAAGTGGAGTCTGAAGGATAAGAAGGCAGCAGTAAGCAGAGTGGGAAGGGTGCTCTAGGTCTAGGTAGCAGGACGTGCAAGGACTCTGTGGCATTGGGGAGAGGAGCCGGGGCGAGACGCTCAGTGTGGCTGCAAGTTGGGTGGGGAGGGAGAGGAGGCCAGCCAGCTGTGGGCCAGCTGTGGGGGTCTGGGTGAGAAAGAGCGTTTGCAGACAGTGGGGCTCTTTGGGTGCAAGCTCTCCCTGACTAAGTTCAGCCAAGAAGGGAATTTACAGGAGGGACAGGGTTGCAAGTAACAGAAGCCTTATGAACCAAGTTTATTATGAAAAACCAGAAGGTGGTTCACGATGTTTCTTGGCTCTCATACAAATAAAAAATCCAGGGATTTTCGGCTTCAGGTATGGCAGGATCCAGGACTCCAACTCTTTATTAATGTCTCTTTCTCTTTCTCCATCTCTTATCTTTTCTCCCCTGGTGTAGCTGAGCTGTTGAGGGCTCACCTGAGAGTAAAGTTAATAAAGAGACCAGGGCTGTTTGAATTGGAATCTGTCACCAATACCAAAAGAGCCCTCATAGAGCCTTGAATGTCACACCGAGGAACATGGACTAAACCGAGACAAGTGTCGTTGAAGGATTTTGGGCCAAGGAGTTACAAGATTTGGGTTTTAGGAAGGAAGAGCCCAAGTGCAGGGACCCCTACAAAGGCTGGGGAAGTTGTCCTATGGGGAGGTAGGGATGGGGATGAGTTTGAGAGGCATTGTCAACCTTCTGGTGGTGTCAGTTTTTTGGGGAAATGGCAGATTTCTTCATGGATGTTATCTGCTCCTTATCAGACCCCCAAGCAATCGGTGCAGTGTAACTCACAGAAATGGAAAGCGAGCTCCTGTTCACACTTGAGGGCAGAGACCCAGAGACATCAAGTGACTTTCCTGAGGCCACACAGTGGTCAGAGATGAGACCAAGCACCTTTTTTTTTCCTACTCCGAGTGGAGGCTATTAGAGGGGCTGGAGCCCCAGTCTGTGTGAGTTGTTGCTTCTTGCAAAGACCCATGGGAAGAGGGCCTGCTGAGAAGCCCCAGGAAGTGTGGATGGAGAGCAGAGGTCACAGGAGGAGCGACATCGGCCCAGTCTTGCATCCTTTCACAAGGAGACCGAAGGGCCATGGCTGCCTGTATCACAAGGACCAGGAGGCCCTGAACTTGCCAGCGTGACTCTCCTGTCCTTCCCGCCTTCCCCGACTCCCACCTCTGGCCTGGAGCCGAGGAACAGGCTGAGCTGTGTAGTGGGATTGTACCCTGTGGCCAGGCAGCTGGGAGGGGGCCACCCGAGGGACAGGAAATAGCTGGGTTTGGGGAAGTCCGCATGACCAGCCAAGCTAAGCGAGCCCACGATCGCCTGGGCAGCCCTCA